GTGCAGAGACGAGGGGTTGGAAGGCGATTTTGTCTCAGGAAAAAGTGAAGTTGTAGATAGTTTCATGGTAACATTCCACCTTCTTTTCCCTTTTGTGTCTACCTTGGTACTGATCAAACCGTGAGGATAAAGAAATGTGAGTTCCTGTAAACCATGGTAGATGTCCACATTATTCCAATACATCTATTCTGAACACAATATCCTTGTGTTGTGTAACACAGGACATTGCACTTTTTGCATTTTTAGCGCTTCTATCTTTAGAAGCGCCAGAGAATCACGTGTCCCCACATTCTTTATTTGGGTTTTGCTCATTTTGTTTGATTTCTTACATCATAAAGGATTTGCCTGGATCTGCATCTTCTGCTTGGAAACAAAGAAGGGCCAGCTGTAGGAGCTAAGTGGTGATCCTTGGGATGAGCTGACCAGCAGCTCATGCAGAAACAGAATATTTAAGAATGTTCTTAAATGGGTTGTAGGAATCCAAATGATRGAAAATAACACCATGCAGGGCTAGATGTTGGAAAAATGCTGGTGCTGTATCTGGAGRCACCCAGCTCCACAGGCAGTGACAGTGATGGAGAGCACAGTGCTGTGCCAGCGTGGAAACCTTCCCAGCCCTGGTCAGATGTATGGTGAGAAAAAGAAATTAAAGCAAGAGTGACATTAGGGAGGGGCAGTTAGGAATTATAGCATAAAAGACCCTTTTGTCTGGTCAATCTTTGCTGTGGCAAAATGCAGTGTCTGGGTTAAATCTGCTCCCTACGTTGGCACTGCAAGTTTTTAAAGATGCTCTGAGGCAGCTGCAGCCAATTGTATTTGCACAGATAAGCTGGAACAAGTAAACAGACTCAGAAAATCTGGCTAGATTTATCTTCAAAGCATTTTCAAGCAGCTAATTGAAAATTATCCAAGCCACCTTCCTGATTTCTTGCATATTATTGCAGTAATTTCCCAGGAATGGAAAGCACTTGGGCAACATACAAAGGGGTTGCTGAGTGCTAAGCTCTACTATTAGGAATTTATTTAATTTTAAATATGTCCTTGCTCATGTGACAATTCAAAGCCAGCTTCTGCTGCTCTTTTCCATGCTTCAGACTCCAGCAGGGCTAATCATGGAAAAGCACAAGGGGTGGGTCAGGATATTCCTGTTGCCGCCCATTCCTGGGAACTTCCTCCCTCTTCCTCTGGCTGATGGTGAGCACAGGTTGGGTACACGGTCAGCTGGCTGCTCTCTGGCTGTGTTTCTCATTCCTGAAGCTTTTCCATRTGTGCAGTGCCACGCTGTTCCCACAGGAATTGTTTACCAAAGGCTCCAGTCTGGTCCTGGGGCTGCTCCCACAATGGCAGCATCCTCTGTATTGCTGAGCCAGAAGGATGCTCTTTAAAAATGGGCTAAAATAYGTGAGGTTCACACTTGGTGTGGTCTGGTGCAGTTCCTCAGCTGCCAGGAAAGCAGTTCAGTGTTATCTGGGAATAACTSGCTCATCCCATGCTTTTGAACTGAACCAGTGCCCTGAGGACAAGCCCTGTTCACAGGACTGGGACATGGATTTATCTCACTTCTGGGAGGTTTCCCCACTCCTAAAGCAGCCAGTGGATTACACATGATCCATATGGTGTTTATCAGCCATGACAGGAGTAGTGCTGCTAATCCTCTGAAGCCAAACTCTCCAAGGAAAATTCACTGAGTGTTACCAAGAGATGTTAAATGCACAAACCCGGATGGATTTGTCCATTTCTGCAGTAACAGGAGCTTGGTGTGCACTTTCCCAGATTCTTAGGATGTGTTCAGTAAGGCCAGGCTCACTCACACATTGAGGAAAATAAAAATAAGGGAGACGCAGAGGAAAATAAAGGAGACCCATCACAGCCACTGAGCACTGCCCTTCCTGATCATTTTTAATCCCCTATCCCCGTCCCTTAGGAAATACCTCCATGTATGCAGCAGAATTGAGAAAAAAAATTGTCTACTCATAAACTGCTCAGCTGTGGGAAGCAGAAGTTATGAATTGATGTTATTTGCCACAATAATACCATATAAAAGTCAAAAACCGTAATGTGAAAGGGGAGATTAACTATTATTGGGCATGTTTCAGCAAATGGGATTATTTTGCATGTCAGTTATGAGTTAATTTGCAACATTAATCTCATTGCAGTCCTTGGCAGAAATRCAAAATGTTTTTAATTGGTCCTGTGACTTTTTAAATGATCACCTGATGAAAAGCTTGTAAGTTTTACTACTGGTTTAATGCTAAATATTATGGGGTGGGGGGAGTCTTTACAGATTTCATCAGGAAATACAAATCATATGCTTTCATTGCCTTGCTACTTCTGCTGTGTTGACTCGATAATGTTGGCACTTTGAAACCAGCTGTACAGCGGAGAAAAAAAAAGTAGAAATCTTTCAGCAAAACTGGGAAATCTATGGCAGAGAGATAATAGAATTGGGACTGATTCAGTGTAAGCAAGAAATCACCAGCTGAGTCATTAAAAACAGATGAATGGGAGGCAATAAATGGATGGCTCAGAAGAATGTGAATGATTAGGAAGTGCGTGGAGTTGCTTGGGTTTTTTCCCCCTGAAGATTCTRTTTTGTCCTCTGAAGTGGCATATGGCTCCTGTGAAAGCTGATAGCCACAGTGAATGTGTCACAGCCAGTTTATAAATACTTCAAGAGATGCCAAGCAGCTTGGGGACAGCGCGGAGCAGGAGTGGGCTCGCTGCCCACAGCACCTGGGCACGAGTCACTAGCCCAGGCCCACAGGGACATGTCCAGGAGGTGGGTTTGGGGCTGGGAAGGCTTCTGGGTTGGGGGAAAAAACATCTGCTGCTTGGAGGAAAGGCTGCTTGCTTTCTTGGAAATGTTTCCCCCTGATTGCTGTTAGCTCACGCTAACCGAGGCTGAAGTTCACGGGGGGATGATGGGGTCACCTGGGTCTGGTGGCCCAGACTGCTGCCACCAAGGAAATAAAACCTTGGATGAAGAGCTCTAATCTCTTTCCTGACTCGTGAAATATCAAAATAGCAATATAAATTCATGAAGTATCAGAGAGCTCCCAGTGCTGGTAAGGAGTGTTTCCTCCTGGGTGAGGCTGGGCCGGTCTGGGAGCTCCCAGCTCCTGCTCGCATCAGGTGAAAACAGAGATGTGCTTTTTCTGTCTGCTGAAATCAGTGAGAGCGAAATCAATCCCCAGCCAAGAAACCTTCTTTACAAGTGCAGTCGAGTGTGACATCAGACATGAGTCTGATACAAGTCTGATAGGAGGAGGGTGCAGCTGCAGTCCTGGCTGCTGTGCAGGAGGCGTTTGATTTACATGAGCATGAACCATTCCGCCCCTGAGAGCCTGATTCAGCGCCTCATAATCACTCCTGACTTTAACAGAGTGCTAAAGCAGSCTTATTTATTGCTTCCAATATTGCATCCAAAGATGAGAAACAGATTTAGAGCTGCAAGAGTCATAAGAGCACTGGAGAGGCAAAAAAATGTGGAAAAAATAGAGCCTTGCACCAAGGCATCATTTTATTGTGCCAGCACGTTACAGCAGTCTGTCTCTGCAGCAAAATTTCAACCCCTGCAGTCAGTTTTTGCATKTGCACTTTACCCAGCAAAGTTACCTGTGCTCTGCTCAGCTGAGGTAGGAGTTACCTGCAGTGCTGCAAAGCCTGGCTGCCAGGCTCACCTGCCCTGCACTGTCATCAAATCCCTGCTGGCATTCTGGACCTTGAAATGGGAAATAGTCCATGCACTCTGCTCCCCAGATAGGATAATTAAGTTAAATTATTTGCAAATGAAAGTTGGACCTTATTTGTTTGACCTACTTCAAGGACCAGAGCTGTTGTAGCACCACTGATCTGAATGTTTAACATTTGGGATCTCAAGTTGTCTGCCCTTCTGGGGCAGGAAAAGCACCTTGGTGCTTCTCTAGGCATCACTTTCTGCCAAGTCCTCCTGTCCCAGTGCCTGCAAGACCTGCTGGTGCAGAGAAGAACATCTACCTAGCAAATGTCAATTTTTTTTTTCCAGCAACACATAGGTAAGTATTAAAGTCCTCACCAAAGGCTGCAGTATTGCCAGGTTACAGCCATCTGAACATAGTTCATTTCATCAGGGAAAAAATTGTCCTTTTTCCCTCTTCTATGCTGATGAGGCTGTCATCTCGGGGGGAACATTTTTATGGGATCCTCTTGAACGGATACTGACAAAAGTTATTGAGGATGCTTTGAAGGTGCTCTCTAATAAAACAAGTCTCACCCAGCATTTGTTGCATGTTTAAGACCAGTATTTAAGGGAGAACCTTATTATTTTCATYATTTATAGTTCAGCCAAGGCATTTAAGGAAAAATTCTCTTGGTTGCTGGCACGGTCAGGTGCTGCAATGCACAGGAGCAGGGTGAAAGGAGGCAGTCTGCATCRGTAATCAGGTTAGAGTCAGCTGCCTCTGCCCTCCAGCCTGCTCTGAAATGGCATGTAGTCTAATTAGTTATAGAAAGGATTTTACTGAATAGTTGTAAACAGATCTGAGGGCTTGGAATAAAATCAATCTGACTGTGGAAACTTTTCAGGATAATTATAAACTGTTATTGGCAGAGTGTGAAAGAGAGACCAAAGGACTTCCAGCAGTGGGAAACTTGTGGCTGTGTGGGCTGTTCCCTGCAGGGGGAAGGAGAGGGATCTAACCAGGTTGTGGGGTCTAACCAGATATTTGTCAGAGGAGGGATAAAGAGGGGAGACTGCCTTAGAGGTGCTTTGCTTTTAATGCTCTTGAATGATTTTTTCTTTTCTGTAATGTTAATGATGCCCTGACACCTGAGGTTCCCACACATCCCATGGTGGAGGGCACACAACCAGTGAACTGCGCAGTGAAATGCTTATTTAAAAAACCTTGTTAGATAGTTATTATTATACTTACTAGAAAAGAAAAAAAAAAAAAAAAGAAACAGTATTCAAGGGCTTTGAGCATGGTTTTATATAAAGGCTTGTGCAAATTCTCTTTGCACAGATCAGAATGGTCTTGGCTCAAACCTTCACTGTCTCCCTGCTGAAGTAAGTGCTGAAAATCGCATCTCCTGGACAGGCTGGTCCTCGCTGCCCCACGAAGCCACCCTGGCCACCAGCCCACCTCCATCTGCCCCTGGACTCTGCATTCCTGTTCATGGCAATGCCCCAGAACTCCACCAGAGARAATGGCTTTTGTTTCGCTCCGAGCCTCGACTTCTCCTGCCCATCCCCTCGTCCCGGCGAGGCTGGCCGGACCTTGGGTACTGTGAGCGGGAGGGATGGCCACAACCCCTCCCTGAGCAATGGCATCACCTCCTTGGGGGCCACCAGCCCCTCGGACTCGTGTGCCGAGCCCCTGTGCTCCGACACCCCGGCCGAGGAGGGCACGCCGCTGGAAGAAGGGATTAAATACGTGTCCGCCGACGGGGAGGAGCTGGCCTGCGGCTGGGGGGGCTTCACCCCGGGCTGCCTGCAGCTCTGCAACACCTCCAAAGGGGTYCTGTTCTTCCTCTGCGTGGCCTCCTTCCTGCAGGGCATGACGGTGAACGGCTTCATCAACACCGTCATCACCTCCATCGAGCGCCGCTTCGACCTGCGCAGTTACCAGAGCGGGCTGATCGCCAGCTCCTACGACATCGCCGCCTGCGTCTGCCTCACCTTCGTCAGCTACTTTGGGGGGAACGGCCACAAACCCCGCTGGCTGGGCTGGGGCGTGCTGCTCATGGGTTTGGGCTCGCTGCTCTTCGCCCTGCCCCACTTCACCACGGGGCGCTACGAGGCGCGCTCGGCGGCCGAGCTGGGGGTTTGTGGGGGTAACCAGAGCTTGCCCTGCTCCCAGGCTGCCTCCAGCCTCTCCAGCTACAGGTTTGTGTTCATGCTGGGGCAGTTCCTGCACGGGATGGGAGCCACGCCGCTCTACACGCTCGGCGTCACCTACCTAGATGAGAAYGTCAAGACCAGCTACTCCCCTGTGTACATTGGTGAGTGGGGCTGAAGGGGCAGTTCCAGCCCTAGAGGAGAGGTGGGAGGAAAAGATAAAGGTCCCTCTGCCTTGGCCAGCCCACCCTGGGAGCAGCTCTCCCCACACTGCCCAGCCTTTTGTTCCGACGAGGGGCGAGGTGGAAGTCAGAGGGGCGTGGATGTGGCAGCTGTTGGGGAGTTTGGATTATTTACCAGGGGGAAAACTGAGCTGAGTTGGGTGTTTTTCCACCCTGCAGGTGGGGAGTGCCTCCTGCTCCTGGCMTGGGGCCAGCCCTTGTGGCATTAGCATCTCTGGCAGACAGCCATGTGGTAATGCCCCATCCGTGCAAGGGGTGCAGAATCACAGCACCATTTGGGTGCAAAAGGACCTTTAAAGGTCATCTAGTCCAAYACCTTCAACTCTGATAGCTCAGAGCCCTGTCCAGCCTGACCTTGAATGTTTCAAGGGATGGAACACCCACCAGCTGTTTGGGCAGCCTGTGTTGGTGTTTTATCACCATTTATATCAAATTTAAACATTTAGATCATCACCGCTCTAGGCCTCAGCATGGCAGGGATGGTCACTGGGCCACTGGTGCAAAGCACAGCCAAGAGAAGATGCTCAGCTCACCCCTCTGTATCACTGGTCACTCAGCAGCTGCCAAATGCTTTGTTCTATTTRGTGAAAGTGCCAAAAGGGTGATCTTTTAGCAATTTCAAAACGCATCAGTCTGCCCACACTGTATCAGAAGGCTGTGAAGTGTGGGAAGGAGATCATAAGGATATCATCCAAGTTAATGATCTTTCCCCCTGTCATGGTTTAAACTGAAATAAGTTCCAGTGGGGCTGTGTTTGGTGTAGACATTATGGGGAGTGGGGAGAGATTCCTGCTGCCCATCGCTGTGKCAGTCAGGGTGAGGCAGTGGGATCAGCTGCATCCCTGCTAAATACACTTTTCTACTGAACTAATTTCACCTGCCTCATACTATAAAACTTCCCAGTCTGGATGCAAAAGCTTCCCTGGAACAGAAGCATGAGAGGAAAGCTTCTTTAATCTGGATTTGTGYCTTGGTGGTGGAGGTGAAGGGTGTGAGGCACAGAGCCTGAGCATCCCTCATCCAGGAGGGARTCGTGCTGGGGATCCCTGCCTGACGTGCTGCTGGTTGTCTAACACGATTTGTTTTCCTTTTCAGCTGTTTTCTACACTGCTGCAATCCTTGGGCCTGCAGCGGGTTATCTGGTAGGAGGAATGTTTCTAAATATTTATACTGAAATTGGCAGAGAGTAAGTCGTTAAAAAAAAATCTTGTTCCTTTCCCTTTCTGCTCTGTGTTTCCTTTGGGGTAGAAAAAAAACAATAATAATAACAATGATCTGGAGCAATGAGCTGGTGGCTGGGTGGGAGTGTGCCTGGGGTGTTGGGTGGTGTTTCTGCAGGGGGGGAGAGCCTGGAAGGGTGGTTTGCATTAGTGCTGCTGCTGGAGGGAAATTGCTGACAAACCTGTCAKCTTAAATCCTTCCTCACGCTGCACTGCCTGTGCTAATGAGCCCATGAGCAGCAGGTGAATTTTTTGAATGAGTTCCCTGATGAGGCAACGCTCCCAGCAGTGCTGCTCGCCCTCCCAGTCATCCCACCAGGATGCTTAGTCCCTCCTGGCTTTGTAGTATTTGTAATTTATTCTCGTTTCCTCACAGGCTCTTTGGCAGATCATAGAATCACAGAATGGTTTGGGTTGGAAGGGTCCTTAATGATCATYTAGTTCCACCCCCTCTGCCRTAGCAGGGACACCTTTTACTASACTAGATGAATGGATTTATAAGCGAGAATGGGTTTCCAGGGGAAGAAATGGGTTATTTCCACCAGTTTTCTTGCAAAGGGTGTTTTTGGGGTGGAACAAGGATCTTGACAACCCTCAAAGCACGGTTGAAAAGGAGTAGAGTGAATGTGCAAGCGTGAGATTAAACAAGAATTAAATGGTGTTTAATTAAATGATTTCCCAGGTTGTGTTCTGGCAAGGCAGAGCTGTGCTGGGGCAGGWGCGATGGTGGATGTGCCATCCCCATCAGATCACTCCATTTCCTTGGCTGTCACCCCCCCGTGTCCCCCCAGCCCCTCCAGCCTCACCCAGAGGCACACAGAGCTCTGTCCCCAACACCTCCTCTCTCCTTGTGTCCCTGTGGCTTCTCCCCTGGCAGGATCGACATCGCCCCTGAGAACACGCTCTGGGTGGGGGCCTGGTGGATCGGCTTCCTGGGCGCTGGGGCTGCTTCCCTCCTCATCTCCATCCCCATCCTGGGCTACCCCCAGCGCCTGCCAGGTACGGGGTGTGCTGGGCTGGGGATTGGGGATTGGGATTGGGATTGGAGATTGGAGATTGGGGATGGGGATGGGGATTGCAGATTGGGGATGGGGATTGCAGATTGGGGATGGGGATTGGGGATGGGGATTGGGGATTGGAGATTGGGGGTGGGGAATTAGGGATTGGAGATTGGGGATTGGAGATTGGGGCTCCTGCTTGCCTTGGGGCTTTCATCCTCGTGCACCTAGGTAGCTGGGGGCTCAGGGGTAAAGGAAAAGCTTCCTGTGTTTAATTCCTCAATGGGTTTCACCCCCTTGGCTTTCCATCTGCCTCTGCTGSTGCTCCTCCCTCGCAGCTGTGGGATGTCAGGTTGTGTTTTCCCCCTGCAAGCCCACGGCTTTGGCAGCATCCCCATCCCGTGTCTGACACACTCCTCAGTCCCATTTCCCTCTCGTTACAGGGTCCCAGCGCTACATYGTCATGAGGGTGTCAGAGGCTCATCAGCTGAAGGATGGCAGCCACAAAAAAGCGTCAGACCCCGACTTTGGGAAAACAGTGAAAGATCTGCCTCGGTGAGAAAGGCAGCCCTTGCAGAGGTYAGGGAGGGGAGAGGAATGAGCCCACGCTGAGCTTCCTTTCAGCCCTGTCAGCTCAAAGGTTTTGCCTGTTCTCAAGCAGTGACACTTCTTTGCAAGGGGAGGTGTCAAAGGTCCCGTCAGGCTCTGGGAGCCCTCAACAAAGAGGCTGAACTAGACCTGGTGCTGGGGATCCCATGGGGGAGCAGGGGACAAGTGGCTGGTCCCATCTGGGTTTTCAGCAGCTCGTGTCCACCTGCAGTGCTGTGCCACACGCAGAGTTTCACCAGGGGTGGCTYCATGCCAAACTTTGGGTGATGGGAGATGCCCAGGCATTGCCAGCTCCCTCCCTCTCCCCAGCAGCATTATTCCTGCCTGTCTGCTTCTGCCTGCCCTCACCTGGCCCAGTTCTGTGTTTTCCAACARCTCCTCCTCCCCAACCCCTCGAGACGTTTTTTTTCCTTTCCTCTATTTTTACTTGTGTTAGATCCCTGTTTTGTCATTTTAAATGAGAAACGAGATGAAACAGGCCCTCTGATTCTCACATCTTCATTCCAAATCTGGGGAGCAAGATATACCACACTGTAACTTTCAGTTCCCTTTYGCTTTTATTCTTAGTTTCCTTCTTYTTTTTTTGCCTTCCAGTCACCTTTTATGTGTTACTACTTCTTATCTCTCCAGCAAGGCAGTGACACAGCAACTTGCTTAATCCTGAGCTGCTGCTCGGCTCTGTGWTGGGAACAAAGCAGCAGCCAGAATAAAATGTGGTCTTTTAACCACAGGGGATTTTTTACAGATTTTTGGAATATTTTATGACTTTTTTCATTGTGTTGAGTTGTATATAATTCAGGCAGGGGGAAGGTGCTGCTTTTTTTACTTGCCTGGAGTTATCTGGCATGGGGGCTCTGGATGTTGCAATACCTGGGTATTGATTCCTTTTGGAGCTCGCACTCAATAAGGAGAACTCCCTTTTTTTTTATTATTATTTCTCCCAGGTACGTTTTTAGGGAGGAGATTTTTATCCATGTGTGACGGCTGCTCCCTGTGAAGGCAAACAGTGTTGCCAACCCCCAGGCTGCTGCCAACAATTACTTGTGAGCTTTAGTTGAGTTTTTTGTGCTGGCAGAGAAGGGTGGAAGCAGGTGCTCAGAGCAGGGATTTTCAGCACCAGCCGAGCTGTGTTGTGTCAGCACAGCAGCTCACACCAGTCTGCAGCTCTTGGAGACTTGGTAGGAAGTTTAGCAGGGGTTAAGACAGTTTTATGAAGAATATTACATTGAACAGATTTCAGTGCTGTTATTAAATGGCATTCTTGACTGGGTGCCATTTTCCGAGGTCATGGCTTGTTCTCCGCACGGAAATTGAATTCAAAACCTGCATTTAAATAACGATAAGGTTGTGAGAGGAACCAACACAAACGGGGCAGCAGAGAGGGTTGAAATTCAGTGGCTGATGCTTTTGTTGCTTGTCTGGAACAAAGCTCCCACTGTTTCTGCTGTCTGGCAGAAGGAASAGAGACAATCCTCCTCCAGGAGCATCTCCTTTCACACCTTGTTCCTGAATAACAAATACCCAAAGGTGGGAACTTCTATCAGAGAATTCCGACCAGTCCAGACCTCAGCAGTGGTTTTCGTTTGAAAGCACAACAGACTTCTGTGTTCCCTGGTTTTGATTAATGAAAGGGAAGTGCCTTCAAGGCTTGCTCTTCTGGAAGCTTGCATGAAAGAGGAGATCACATCTGTGCAGGCAGCTCCTGGGGACGTGGACCAGGCTGGAGGGTGAGGCCAAAGGACACTCACTGTTCCTTTTCTGGGGGTCAGGGGTTGTGTGCTGCCCACCTTCTCTCAGCATGGACAGTAACAGTCTCACAAAGATAAGCAGAAATACTGAATAAAAAACCAAAACGCTGTTCTGCAGCRTCAGTTCCCTTCTGAGTGAGGTTAATGAATTGCTGTGTTCACACAGAGCAGGAGCTTACAGGAATGCAGCCCATACAGATTAATCCTCTGCCCTGGAGAGACTTCTGTCTTAACTCTCRGGTTGAAAAGGCCTGATAGAATTGCATTTTCCTTTCTCTGGTTCCATATGATTGCTCTTATGGAATAACCTCTCCTGTCAGAGTGGAGATACTCAAAGGGAGTGCATGTAGAGCTGCACCAGGAAGGGAGGCTTTCTCTCAGCAAGCTGCAGGGTGGAATTTGGGAGGACCCCTCACTGGTCTGGCAAGCCCTGGTCTTCTACAGGTGGAGGGTCAGCTTTTTTAGGTGGTGGGATTCTTCTCTGTGTGGGGCTGGGCCTCCTGAAATCACTTTGGCTCCAAGAACTGAGCACTACCAAGGCTRTTCAAGAGTTAGGTGATTTCTGGGTGCATTTAGAGTCCTACTAATGCCATGAAAAGGTCTGTGTTGATTTTGGTAAGGTTTTATGTGTCGCAGCTCCTTGCAGCTACATCTTCTGTCTTCAGACAGATTAAATTGAGTAAATACTTACTTTTAGTGCTAAAAGGAGCTCATTTGCATTTTCCTACTTGCAAGTCCAGCCTGCAAYCTTTGGGCAAAGGGCACAAAGTCACAGTAGTGCCAGGGAGCAGCTCTTCTCTGTAAAAAGGTGAAGACAGTGTCCATTTTCTGCCTCAGCCACAAGGTCTACAAGTATGTTCTTACTTAAAGATTAGTCTCTGTGCTTCCAAATAAGGCACAGTCGAAAATGTCTGGAAAATAAAATAGTACATTAAACTAATCCCAAGAGCTAGGCAGTGTAAAGCCYCCTGTAATCAAAGTGTAGGAATGTGTGGTATTTCTGTCTTTCAGCTTCTTTGTTCTTTTGTTGTAATGAAATTCTCCTCTCCAWGTGAGTGAATTTGCATAAATCTGACTCTGAACCTCAGCACTTCTCTCACTCACTGTACTCAGGTTTTCTCTGATCTCACATTTCCACCAGAGCAGGAGGTGGTGGCTGTGTCTTTCTGCTCACTGAGCATCCCTTGGCATCCCTGCAGCAGGATTTGTGCCCATCCCAGGAATGGGATAATGGGCAGAATTTGGATTCTTTACAAAACACCCCCTGCAAAGCAGTGTCAGTGCTCTYGGTCCAATATCCGAGATAGTGAGAGATAATTGAGACCATTCCCTGTGCCCGAGGGCCTTTCTGCCTCTCAGAGATGGAATTGTTGCTGGATCTGCATTTAAATTACACATGGCAATTTTTCAGGCATATCTGTGGCTCTCTACTAAATCCCAGTGGGTCRAAATAAAATTTAGTACTCAATTTATCCGTTAAGCTTCAAGTAAAACTGTGCTTAGATTGTGGCAGAAAGATTGCTTTCTGTTCTTCAGGTGTCTTGGAGGTGTTTCCTCCATATAGAAAGGCTTGCTTGGTATTTCCCCTGAGTTAGAAAACATCCATGGTAATCAGAGGTTGTTTTTCTGGGAGTGTGGGGGCACGAGTAGCATGTGTATGTGAGGATATGGCACAACTGTGCTCTTGGTTGTGTCAGGAATGCCAAAGTATCTGCCAACAGGGACTGATAAAACCTTGAAATGATTGGGATTTGGTGAGGAGTAATGTCCTTTTGGYATTGCCACATTTAGGAAGAGGAAATATTCAGCCTGACCCTAAATGTTGGAAAATTGCTGCCAAAATCATCTGTGTAGAAGTCATGGGTGCCCTTAATGGTGTGAATTACATCACACACGTACACGCTTTGTGTCACTGATTGGAAAAGTTCTTTCAAACCCCAATTAGCTCCCTTTTGGTATTTTTTCTTTCAAAGAGTTGTGGGATGATGGGATGCTGCCTCACCTTACATGTGATCCTTCTGACTTAAAGATAAGGACGGACTTGAAATTGAAATGTGCCCCAGTGATTCAATTCCAATATATTTGTCTTTCCCAGATCAGTGCTGCTGCTTCTGAAGAACCCCACCTTCATCTTCCTCTGCTTAGCAGGAGCAACCGAAGCAACGCTGATTGCAGGGATGTCCACGTTTGGACCCAAATTCCTGGAGTCTCAGTTTAGTTTAAGTGCCTCTGAAGCTGCCACCTTTTTTGGTAAGGAAACCACGTTTTTGCAATGTTTTGCCAATAAATAGAAGAGCACGTAGCTCATTTAGAGTGGAGACAAATCCTTTGCAGTTTATTTGTGGACTGGTTATCCTCTTCAGCTGTTAGACAGGATCGTTTCCTATCAGCACACTTAAACCCAGTGCATTTCCAGAGCTGCATCTCCTGACATCAGGAGGAAATGTGTCACTTCTGTAGCCATCTGTTACCCTCTAGAGGAAGGCAAAATAATTGTAGTTCCTCCTAGTGCATCACCAGGAAACACAGACTAAACATTTCCTCTGCCCAGGGATGGCTGAGCTGGGGGAGGTGTTTTGTCAGCATCCAGGAACTGGGAGGATCCTCATATTCACAGACCAAGGAATGGTGTCCAACAAGCATCAGCACTTGTGATTTGCTCCTCCAAGAGTCAGTTTTAACATCTCTGGGTAGGAAAAGCTGCCTTGCCAGGCTCATGCCACATTACCTGAGCTGTTACAGAGCTATAGCAGCAKCCACTGAGCTCCCCCCAAGAACCCACACAGAAAATGGGGTCATTTACAAACAAAACACACTGCAATTAATATATTCAAACCTGAAAACGTGCTGATATTTCTAAACTCACTCGTGGGGGGGTTTTTCCCCCTTCTTTTTCAGGTTATCTGGTCGTGCCAGCCGGAGGGGGAGGCACATTCCTGGGAGGATTCCTCGTGAATAAATTCAAACTGCGCTGCTCAGGAATCATCAAGCTGTGTTTGCTTTGCACAGTGTCAAGTCTGCTGGCCATATTCATTTTTTTTATCCACTGCCCTAACATGCCCATGGCAGGAGTGACCCAGATGTACAATGGAAGGTAACTACAGCCACCCTGTCTGTCTGTCTGTCTGTCTGTCTGTCCTGCAGGGCCCTGGTCAGAATAGAAGGATAATTCCAAACACACTGTTTTGGTGGCAGTCGTGTGATGTTTTGGGCATGGAAGTTGATGTCTAGCCAGTCCTACAGGCACGTATTGAGGGTGAGATCAGGAAAATAGATGTCCTAAGCTCTGCAGCTGGAATTTTATGGAATTGACTCCCTAGTTAGTGAGGGAGGGATGTGCAGCAGAATGGGAGGTACTCCACTCTTCAGTTGCCTTTGCAGTGTCCCCCATCTCTGTCCAGAGGCCAAAACTGGACCAAAAGTGGGGATTTTCTGTCCAAACGGAAGTGTAACCCTAAGAGCTGGTCACTTAAACTGCTATGATAGCTGTGGGAAAAGAGACAGCTCTGGGGCACAGTTAGAATTTGGTGGGATGGAATCCTTTCCAAGCCTGGCTTTTTGCTCCTTGGGGATCCATCCCAKCTCCCACTGTCCCTTCCTCTCCCCWTTTCYTCCTKTCAAGTGCTGCTCACTGASTGCTCCTGTGTTTCAGTGCTTTGCCAGGGGGGCACCTCAAYCTGACAGCAGCCTGCAATGCCCATTGTGGCTGTTTGCAGGACACCTACAGCCCTGTCTGTGGCACTGATGGCATCATGTATTACTCCCCCTGCCATGCTGGCTGCAAAAAGGTGTCTGAAAACCTCAGGAATGGCAAGAAGGTAGGTCTGAAAGCACTGTGTATAAATGAGGTGGTGGCACATCTTTGGAGTGATTGGGCTGSYTCTGCARACAGTTTGAGCTTTGCTGTAAATCRGTGTAAAATCARCCAGGCCAGGGTGGATGCTCTCAGGTACCTCATGGGATGAAGGCAAAAGGTACCCTGAGGTCACCCTGCTTTGCTTCTCTCRTTGTATCCAATCATTTCTGTGTCATTCTGGGTCAAACTGTGCTGGAATTTATGGAAAATCACCCGGGCAGGCAGGGAGCTTGGCAAGCACCTGACTCCTGTCCCAGTGCTCATTTTGGGTCCTRAATGAACATAGTGCACCTCCTCATCCTTCCAGCATGATGTTCACAGAGCCAGGCCAAGGCTCAGGAAGGGCAGAGATGATATTGAGCATTCAAGGGCTGCCTGGCAGAGTTAATTTCTCTACTGAATGGATCTGTTTGGAAACAGAGTTGTGTCAAGAATTCAGCTCGATTTCCACGTCATTCTGGGAGCGTAACCAGCTGCTTCCTGCCCTCCCTGAATTTTTTGTTTTTTAATCCTTTGACTGTCACYGAGCTCTCCCCAGCAGAGCCCCCACCAGCCTTTCTTTCCCAGGTCTATCACGAGTGCAGCTGTGTTGACAAAGCCCTCCTGCCTGGCCCTGGCGATGCAGAGGCAGGGAAATGCACCTCCTCCTGTGACAAAAGACCCTTGCTCCTGTGCTTCATGTTCGTGGTCATCCTCTTCACCTTCCTGAGCAGCATTCCTGCCCTGACTGCCACTCTGAGGTAAGCACAGTGTGAGAAGCCTCAATATCCTCCTGTCTGCTTTATCCTGCTGGATCAAACATGGGGAAAAAAGGTGTGATGGGAACCACCTAGGCAGTGGCAGCATGCAGATATCAGGACTAATTCCCATCCCAGTCTAGCTGGGAAAGCAAATTTCACAATTGGAAGCTTTATCCTCTGACATGGGATACACACATTCACAGCAACAACAGGGGGACATTGCACCAGGGGGGATCCTAAATCTCCAGAGGGAATGGAGGTCCCAGGTGTGCTGGGATGGGGAATTTGGGGTTGTGAGGCAGGGAGGTGCAGCCTGGCAGCGTTTTTAAACAAAGCCCTTTGTTTCCCCCAGGTGTGTCTCCGACAGACAAAGGTCCTTTGCGCTCGGGATCCAGTGGATCGTGGTACGAACATTAGGTGAGGAGCAGAGGGGATCTGCACACCACAATGGGCTGGTGCTTTTGTGAGGCATGAGCCAAGCTGTCACCACAAAATAAAACCTAATTCCCTTTGCATGAGATCTGCAAACTGAATGGGGAGCTCTGTAACACATCATAGGGGACGGAGGTTCGGTGTCCTGGCAGTGTGTCCTTATTTTAAGGAACAGGAGCAGAGGAGTTGGAGCTCCTGTGTTTGTGTCTTCTGGCTCTTGTGCCACATGTAGGCCAGGACGGCCAAAAGACCTGCTCAGTTCTTCAAATTCAGCATATTTTTGATATTTTGTGGCTGTGGATGCTGCAGGATGARTTTTCTTAATCATGGTATCAGCAGAGCTCAGCGCTTTTTCTGCCAGGGCTGGTGTGTAGCTGCCCAAATGGAARATCCCCTCTCTTTTCCCACAGGAGGCATCCCTGGCCCCATTGCCTTTGGATCCATGATTGATAAATCCTGCCTGCTCTGGCAGGACCAGTGTGGCGAGCAGGGCTCGTGCTACGTTTACCAGAACTCGGCCATGAGCCGGTACACCCTCRTCGCTGGACTGGTCTACAAGGTGATGCTGCTGCTTAACTCTGCTCCCTGATAGAGCAACCAGGTCTTTAGGACACAATGTTTGTCTCTGGGAAAGAATTTTACAAAATTGGATTCTCTTGATCTGGCCCACCCTCAAACTAAATTAAATTTTCATGCAAGAAATTTCTCAGGGAAGGCAAAAGCCCCATTTGCTTCTCATCAGGTAACRGTGCTCCAGACACCACCATTCTGTTAAATTCCCATTATTTTCTAGGCTTACAGCTTCTATTGCACCGTATGAAATACCTCCTTCCAACAGTAACCAGAGTGATTTTTGCTGGAAATGGAGTAAAATGTGTAAGCACAGTGTGTTAGTGAGAGTGAGGGATGGCACTGTGAGCAGGCTGTAAATAACCATTCCCCAGTCACTGCTAGAAAATAAGAGAGCTTCGAGCTGTGGGTTTTATTTATTAGCAGAAAACCATCATTTTAACTGCTCCCAAACAAGCACTTGCCCTAGATAGTAGTGTTTAGCAGTTGCTGTGATAAAGAGGTTTTCAAAAGCCTTCCAGCAAAAGGCTGAGGCAGTGTTGGGTCATGCAGCACTGTGCTCCAGATGCCTGTGTGGGGCTGGACTTTTCCWAATTCCCATTGCTATGGGGCTGGCTAAATTCAGATTTTTAACCCCTCTGGCTCTGTGTGTGGCTCTGCTTCCCAACACCCCCTCCTCCCCAAAGCTGGGTCAGCAAATCTCACAGCAGATGTGGGGCAGGCACGGGGTTTTGGGGCAGAGCAGAATTAATGGGGTGTCTCTGTGGCTGCAGGTGCTCGGGACAACCTTCTTCATCRTCGCCTGTTTACTCTACAAACCCCCACCTGCAGAGTCAGCTCCAGGCAGCTCAGATGCATCTGAAAATGGCACCAGTGACCTCCAGGAGCACAAGCCTTCACTGCCAGCTGAAGAGGATATATAGCACTGTCCACGTGCAAGGGACTTTCTCAGCCTCAGAAACACAAGGRGAAGATGTTATGCAGTCTCCCAAGGGGTTTTTAAATCAACAGTAATATTTTTTAATTTTTTTTTTTAGTTGAAGATAAATAATTTAATTAACCACTGGTGTGCTTTGCTATTTCCTTAACGGCAGAAGCACATTTAAAGTTGTGCGCTGGTACCAYGTGCAGTTATTTAATTTTATTTAAAGAAAGGGCTACCATAGCTTTATTCTGTGTCTGTGACAAGCCAGGACCACGCTCTCCACTCATGGAAATAATCACTGGTAACTCCAATGGASCATGTGGGGTTTGAACCACCAGAGGAACTGGGCCAACTCTATTGAATATCTCAATTGTAAAGCCAACTGTAGCAAAACTTCTGCTGGGACTTCCCAAGCCTGGGAGGAGCATTGCTGYCCTGCAGTCTGCGTGGCAAAGGGGTCAGCTGGCCCTTGAACTGCTGCATGCAAAGCAGACAGCCCTGGTAGCATCCTCCTCTTGCTGTGACACACAGAATCGCTCTGTTCAGGAGCAGCTTCTCTCATTATGCAAGTTCCTGGTACTGGGAGAGGAGCTTTGGTTAGCAAATCCATTGGTACACTACAGGCAGCAATATCCAGAGCTGCCCAGCATTGTACACTCACTGCCTCACTCCTTGCAGGGTTTACACCGTGGTGACACTTCCTTTTTTTTAATTTGTGTTGTTTAAAAGTGATGCCTTTTGTAATGTACTGTGCGAAACTTGAATTTCTCGCTGTTTGCTGGGCGTGGGAAGACGTGAGGTACAGATCTATGCAATGCTTCTCTTGGGATGTTCTCCACAGGGTTTGGGTGGATGCAGAGGTTGGAGTGGGTTTAGTTTGTCTCTAGATCAGAAGCCTGAGGGACAGGACTGCCTTGTGGAAAGGGGATGCTGCCTTGGAGCTGGCCTGCTCGCAGGCAGGGAGGGCAGCCTYCCCAAAATGACCTTTGAATGTGCTCTTGCAATATTGATCAGGGCCTCTCCGAGGGGCACAAGTGGAATTTGGGCGTGTGTGAGCCTGGCTTCCCCCCCAGTGCAGGTCAGGCTGGGTTAGTGCTTGGTCTGCCCGTGTTTGCACAGCCACAGGGTCCAGGTGAATCCCCAGGACCACCCCCTGGAATTCTGCATGGATTAACCGTGTTCAYAGGGACGGGACCTGCACCACTGAGCCGCAAAACTGGTGCTTCCTTCATGTCAGCCCCTACTCAGAATCACTTTGTAGATGTTTTTGTATATTTTGTGTATTTATGTCTTCACAAATGGAGGCAGGAATGGGCATTTGCTTCCTTCACTAGCGAAGGACTGGTTCTCAGAGTGGAGGGGAAGCTATTCCCACTGCAGACAGGGATGGTGGTGCTGGGAATGTGGTCAATCTTCAGGTCAGCGGAGGAAAGCAGCTTCTTCCATTSACAGATCCCCTTCCATTAAAGCCTCATGGTGACCTTCCCGTTTCCCATCCCCTGTTGAGTGTCTGGACAGACTCTGCATCCCCTGCCCCATCCCTGGAAGTGCTCTGTGCCAGGTTGGATGGGGTTTTGAGCAACCTGGTCTGGCTGAAGGTGTCTGCCCAGAGCAGGGGCTGAAACAAAATTATCTCTAAGGTCCCTCCCAACCCAAATCATTCCACAAATCCATCTTTGGTAACTGCTGGGAAGACTCAAAGTGGTAAGGAGGAGAAGGATGGTGGCTTTTTGGCTTCTGGTGCAGCTCTGATGGGGCACAGTTTTTGCAGGGAGGCAGGATTAGCCCCACTGATGCTGGAGTTAACCCCAGCACCACCCCAACACCTTCACCTGGGTTTGGAGCCACCTACAAACACCAAGCCTGAATCCAGGCCTTGCCCTTCCCTAGCCTAGACACTTTGGGTACAAGCAGGGATCTTAGACGGGGAAATGCATGAATGTATTTTGGGAGCATATTTTATGTATCGTGTATTTATGAAAGGTAGAAGTTTTTCTTAATATATATATATATATATATGGATATTGCAATGCAATTTTAGTGTTTCTAAAATGAACTTTATCTGAGTGTTTGTTTCCAGAGCTAAACAAAAGCTCATGGGATTCTGGGCATTTATGATGTTGCTGTGGGACTGGTACGTCAAGGATTTTAGTGAGCAGCAACGTGACATTCCTGTTCCATAAACAGGCTGTTTAGRTGTACAGGTAACTTAAAATGTTTGGAAGTATGTTTCCCTGTCTGATACGAAGTATTATATTGCTATAAAAGCATAGAAATATAACCACTGTTTCACAGGTGCTCGTGTGCGTGTGTTTCATCAGCTGTCACCCTTTGCCAGCCTCAATTTTTTTGGCAGGGGTGTATCCACGGTGCCATTTGCTGGGGTCTCCARGGAGGAGAGCTGGAACTCTTTTGTGTTTAATTCATGATGTTAATTAAGCCCCTCATGGCCTCAGGAGTTTCAGGCTTTAGGTGTCATCGAGGCCCTGTGGTTTGGTGTCTGCTGCTGCCTTTCCCTCTCCTCCTGAGACACGGGATTGCTGCTTTCCAGGGGAAAAGGAGCTTTGTGCTTGCTGGGGAAGGAGAATCTTCATTTCTCGTCTTCATCCACAGGCTGACCCTGTTAAACCCATGGAGTTCCTGCCACCCTGTGCTCYGTGAATGAGGTGACAGGTTCTGTGTCACCTGTGCCTTGCTCAGGGCGATTCTCAGTTGGAGAATGGAAACAAATGGGGTCGGTGTTGAGGATTCRCCGCAGGGAAACAAAACAAGTGAGTGCCCACAGGGAGGGCAGGCAGGAGGAACTGGAGGTTATTTATTGTGGGCAGTCGATGAGCTGCTGTTCTCTGCTGAGGAGTTTGTTTGGAGGTTTCCTGGGGGTTTGAAAATGCCATTAAATCAAAGCTTTGAGTGATGCGCAGATGGTTCTGCGGAGCTTCCCACCCTTCCCCTGGTGCTGCGGTGTCTCCTACTCCTGGATGTGCAGAAGAAAAGCCTCGATGCTTCCCTGTCCAAATATCTGCATCCTTTGGGTTCTCCTGCCCCTTCCCTGCAGCTCTCCAGCCTTCCTGAGAGGAAGGGAAGGAATGGGAATGGGAGCAAACGCTGGCAATTCGCTTTTATACTTAGCATCATATATTACAGGAAGGAAAAAGAAACACGAAACAAACAAACAAAACGTGATTGGCGTGATTTGATCTCAGCTAAAGGAAGAACTCTCCTTTTTCTCCAAGGCTCAGCCAGCCCCTGTTCGTGGCTGTGGGCCAGGGTTTTGTGCAGGGCCAGGTGGGACTGGGGAAGGTGCCACTAGATGGCAATGGAGACGRTGGCATGTCCAGCACCTCTGCCTGCTGCTGAGGTTCCTGGTGCTTCATGGAAAGGACARAAATCCAATCTGCGCACTGGGTTCCAGCTTTGCAGCAGCAAAACCACAAATACGTTTTATGACATCCAAATAAAGTCCAAACGTAAAATTTTAGTATCTAGCGATGCATTATTCTAGGGAAAATACACAATTTGTAAGCAGAAAGCTGTGCAACAGGTGAGGGTTCAAACAGAGCAGCTGCGTTTTTTCTACAAAAGTTGTTAAATTCTCATTTGAGGCATTCCCTTCCCAAGCAGGGATGGAGGGCTCTGAGCTGGCTTTCAAAGGGCAGTTTTCATATTTTGATTTTCTTTCTTCGGATGTTATAATTGGGATTGCTCTTGGCCTGACCCTTTCACTTCACTCCGAGGAAAGAGTTCTCCTGAAGTTACAAARGATGTTTGGTTTGGAGCACAGGAAAAACCCCAGGTGCTCTGGCCCAGGTGAACTCTGTGRAAAACCTTCTATGAGCCCAATGGGWTCTGCATCAGGCTCATAATTAATAATTTGTCTTGCTTTAAAATTAAATAGAAAAGAAAGAGGAGTGGTAGGTTAAGGGRATTTTATGTGTTTTACCAGCCTGGGCAGCCTCAACCCAGCAAATGTGGGGTGCCCAGGAGGTCTGAGGGGTGGCTGTGGCTCTGCTGTGGGAACAGAGCTGGGTTTCCATCACACAGTTCCAGGGAATTTGAGGAAGCAGAATGTGCTGGCATTTTCTGTGGCCAAAGTAATTTTCTCTGGAACAGAATTTTCTTGTCTTCCCTCAAGTTTTCATACTGACCTGCAAGCAGCAATTTTAGAAGATGAAAATGAGACCGTTCYGCTCCTTCTAATGAGGTGCTGCATGTCTCCTCCAGCCAGTGACCCACCATCCAATTTCCTAGAAACACATGGAAAAACGAATCTCACATTAAATTAAAATTTTCAGTTGTGTTATCTTTCGCCTGCTTCATTACCAAGTAACACTCTACCAGTTAAGAGTCCTGAGAAACCTCCTAAAAGTGCACACAATGGGATGAATCCACCACGAATTCTCTTACAAACCTCTCCTTGTAGTAAGGGGGAAGCAGAGCTGCTGTAAAATGAATATTGCAGTAGTTCAGTGAAACACTGATGYATGAGTAACTATAGAAACTGTAGCTCCAGACATGAGTGTTCAACATACTAATGTGCCCTGCTTCAAACTCATAAGAAAAATGTGAGCTCTCATTATACTGCCTTTCTGGTTTAAAAATACAAAAATCTGTTCCAAGTGGAGCAACGCTCTGAAAGTTGGTRGTATCACAGATAAAGCCTTCCACATGAACAGCCATGAGATACCTGAGCTGCTGTGGCATTGCACACAAAATCTGCCTGGGAGTTCACAGAATCATGGAACCATGGAAYGGTTTGGGTTGGAWGGGACCTCAAAGATCCTCTCATTACAATCCTCTGCCATGAACAAGGACAATTCCCACTGTCCCAGGATGCTCCAAGCCCTGTCCAACCTGGCCTTGGACACTTCCAAGGATGGAGCAGCCACAGCTTCTCTGGGCACCCTGTGCCAGTTCCAACTGCTTCGTTATTATTAATAGCTATGAAAGCATTTTTTATAGAAAAAGTAAAGTACTTGTTGTCTTTGCCTGTCTTCTTTCCTAAGGATGGATTGACAGTGGGTTTGTCTTGGGAGATGCAGAAACTAATTTTTTTTTTT